AGCCAGCAGAGGGAGCCCTGAACCCTGGGGCTGTGGGTGGGGGCTGCACGGGGGTGGGGGAGGTGGGTGGTGGAGAAGGGGCAGAAAAATGTTGCTTGACTGCTGTGGAGGCGGCTGGGCCCGGGCCTGTGCCCGCCCGCCTGTCCTGTCCTGCTCTGTCTAACTCCCTAATTACTGCTACCCCTCCCCCAGTCCCTACTCCCACCCCAACCACCACATCAAAGCCAGTGATGCCCCAGCTCCATTAACCCCTGCCTCCCCACCACCCACCAGCCACCCTATACCACCACCAGCACCACCCCCTTTCCCACCCCAATTTGGTTCCCTCTGCCCTGTCCTGGACACTGCCCTTCCCGCCTCCTCACACTTCTCTCCTTCCCATCCTCACCATACAAGAGGGCTTCCTATTGATCAGGGCTGTGCGAGGCCAAAGAGTAGACACATTGAACCTCCTACTGGTTCCTCCTCCCACCCCACCCCCCCAGGACAATCTGTGCTTTCTGCTCTCCCATACTTAGATGGGGGCAGGGATGGGGGAGGCCCAGTACCCCTTTTCTGAGGCCCACACCCAATGGCACCCAGGGTGAGATCCTCAGCAGGAGGTAGGCTCCTGGCTCCCACCCTCAGCTGCCTGCATTCTGTGTGGCCTCTGGCCATCTCCTATCCCTGGACTTGGCTGGAGTTCTTACTATAAGTGACAAGATGAGATCAGATGATCTATATATATGACCTTTCGCAGAAACATTTCTGAATTAAATGGAGGGCTCGGAGCTGGAGGAACCAGCCAAAGAGGCCAGGTGGAAAGTGGGAGAACCCTCCCAGCAACCTTTCCCTTCCTCAGGTGGTCCAGGGCAGCGCCTAAGATCTCCTCCCATCTCACTGCAGGCAGGAAGGAGGGCGCAGGCTAGAGGACTCTTACCCAGTCCCCAGGGATAGGCTTCTGTGTTCCCTGAGTGCCTCCTGCTCTGGCTGGCTGGGTGCCTGCTGCCAGCCTGACCCAGGCCTGGCTGCCTGCCCCGCCCTGGCCTCATCCCCTCCACAGCTGCATTTCTTCATCAAAGTACACATTTGAATCCCCCCTCGCTGAGCCCTGGTGATCAAGCCTCCCTCTGACCTCCCCCCACCAACTCCTGGCTTCTGATGAGAGCTGGGCAGGAGGGGGCTGGCACCTCCCAGGAAGTGTCACGGTGCCAGGACTCTGGTGGGCTCAGGGCATGCTCTGGCCCAGACTGAGCTAGCCTCCTTTTGCCCCTGCCCTTTTCTGCTCACAGCCCCATTGTCTTCCTCCAGGGGAAGCTGCCAAGGCGGGAGGCCTGTAGGGTGGGACTGGATGACCACCCCACCCCCATCCCCACCGCACCCTGAGCTTGGCAAGGACCAGCAACAGAACTGCCCACAAAGGGTGAGGGCCCCAGATAAAGGTGGGATGGGAAAGGGTGGCCAGGCCCAGCGTGGGGTGGGGGTCACAGCTAGAAAACCCAGGCTTCAGGAAGGAGCCTTGTCTTTTCCCTGTCTCCCTGTGGGGCCAGATATGAGGCTATCTTAGGCCTATGGTTCCTGTTTCTATAGGAAGGAGGTGGTGGTGAAAGGCAAGATGAGATGGTGGAACAGGGTGGAATTGGGTGGTGTTTTTCCCAGTGGAATAAGGGGAGGGTTAGTTTCTTTCATAGGAAATATGAAACAGAAAGAGGAAAAGAAAAAGAGGGAGATTAATTTGGCTATTCTGTGAAAGTGAGCTATTTTCTACAACCTCTAATTAAAGGATAAATAAAGATGGGTCAGACATTAAGAAGAACTTTCAGGGTGGGACAGTCAGGGAACAGGTAGAAGGGAGCTGGTGAGTAGGAAGCTATAGTTTCTTCCTCTCTCTGACTCATTCTCAAAATGGGGTCTGTCAGGGGCTGGATAAGACAGCCTGGTCAGTGTCCTGGAATCTTGGATTCTGAAATTCACAAGGATACAGTTATAGATGTGAGAGAGACAGGCAAAGAGGCTGGGGCAGAGTTTAGAAAGCATCAGTTCCATCAGGGGAGCAAGGGGTAGAGGGACGGAAGTGAGAGAGAAATCTTTGGAACCAGGAGCCAGGTCCCTGAGCCTATTCCAGGGTTGGGGCCACTCCCCTCCAGGAAGGACCCTCCTTTCCTAACCAGGTTAGTCCTGTCATTCATAGTTCCTGGGCTCCTCTCTGCTCCCAGTCTGGCCACTGCTGGAATGTCAGAGCAGATTGCAGGGGGCTGCTGCAGGTCGCTATTCCTGCTCCACCACTAGTGCCCTAACCTGAGAAGTAGGGAGAAGAGGGCCAGCAAGTAGGTCCTAGACATCAGAGAACAGCCTGGAAGTCCCTGGCCTGAAGAAGCTCCTAGCCAAAGTGAGGCTGGAGGGTGAGGGTGAAGTAAAGAGTGGCAGGAGCCTCAGGCCACTCGGGATGCTAGGTCTGGCCCATCAGCCCATTCCTGATCTTGGAGGGCAGTGATGGGTGTGGTGGGAACAGGAGTGTAAGCAACCAGAGTCAAAGGTCCTGAGAAAGGGAATCTGGGCTCAGACCAAAAGAATTAAGTATCAGAAACAGACATAGGGGAGCAAAGGGCCAACGCAGGCAGGAGAGGCAGGTTCTATCTGAGAAGCATCTGAGTGAGGCAGTCTCTGGACATCTTATCAGCCCAGCCCCTCACTCTTCACCCTGCTTGCCCTGCAGCTGTGGCCATGAAGGCTTCTGTGTTCTCCCACACCTGCCCTCCTCACCTCCTCCCCCACTCCTTGCTTCCCAGTTTCAGGGTCAGTCTCCAAAGGAGCAGGTCTCCCTCCCTCTGGTTTGGCTCTTACCCAGCAACCCTTCTTGAACAAAAGCACCCCCACAGATACAAATCCCAAAAAAGTGAATCAACCCACCAGTAAACACTCCATAAAATTGTCCCCAGCACTTTTAGCCTCCAGGGCCCCAAAGGCCAAGGCTCTGGTTTCCAAGACCAGGGAAGAGAGACACAAGAGGAGATGGTTGTCAAAATGCAGTAACTGGCATAGTTGCCCAATGCATGGGATGGTGCATTGGGAGCACAGAGAAGGCAAGGGAGAGAAGACAGAGGGACAGCTTCCTGGAGGAAGTGTCATTTTAGTCGGAAGGATGAAAATAATTTGGACAAATGGAGAGAGGGGGGAGGTAAGGCAACAACTCTCAGGGAGAAACCTCTGTCCCACCCTGAGTGAGGGCAAAGTTAAGAAAGGTTTTGGAACCGAAACCAGTTTGGCTCAGTGGTAGAGCGTCGGACTGCGGACTGAAAGGTCCCAGATTCCATTCTGGTCAAGGGCATGGGCAAGAGGCAGCTGGTCGATGTTTCTCTCTCATCAACATTTCTAGGTCTCTATCTCTCTCTCCCTTCCTCTCTGTAAAAAATCAATAAAAAAATAATAAAAATAATTTTTTAAAAAAGGTTTTGGAGAGTAAAAGAGAGACCCCCTTTACCAAGTTTTGTTTGAGACCCTGGACTTTAAACTTAAATGAATATCCCTTTACACTGAGGAGAAGCTGGGATGTGGAGGAGGGAATATGTTTAAGGAGTGCCTCCCAATGTCAGATAATTTTGCAAATCATCCCACCTAATGCTCCGACTAAGCCTGCCAGGTAGAGAGATTGTCTCCCAGTTTTATGGCTGAGTCGTTGTGGGGCAGTGGAAAAAAGTGACCTGCCCAAGGGTAGCAGATTTAACAAAAGGAGCAGGTTAGATCTCAGGTCTATTTCAAAGCTGCTAATGGATTATGTTAAGACCTAAGCAAGGGACACATGTTGCCTAGCCGGAACCTGGGTCGTCCTCAATTTGCCCCCTCACTGACACCCGAAGGGATGCTCTCTCGCCAGCAGCTCCCTGTGTGGGCATCCTACTCTCCATCTCCCTAGAAGAGACAGTTCTGACTGCTTCACCCCTCCTTCCAAATCCTGGGATGGGGGAGGAGTGGAGTGTAGAGAATCCAGCCAATGACATGGCTATATGCAAATAGGCAAGACCCTGCCTTTTTAGGATTGGCTGATATCGGCCAAGTTCCTCCTCTCTTGACATTAAGCTATTCCGGGGTGGTTTTTGCTGCCCTGGAGACTGGAAAGGAAAAAGTCCGCGGGACCCACATATCCGAATGGTCCTGACTTGGCACCCACCTTCCCAGTCCCTACTGCAAGACTCAAAGTTCCTGCACTCTTCGCTGCCTCGGTGTCTGCTCTAGCTAAGGCCAGTTCCGGAGAGATGTCTTCAATTCTTAGTTGACCAAGCCTCCCTCCCTTTCACCAGACTCTCCAGGGTTCCTGAGCAGCACCTTTACTTGACCCTTGATCCCATATCCGCAAGGTCCAGGCGCCTGGGTCCCTCTCCTGCCTGGGTCCCTCCTCCCCGAGCAGAGAGTCAAGGTCCTGACTCAGTTTCCCCTTTCCGTCCCTTTCCTGCCACTACCGCCCACACTGAAGGAGCTCAGAGAGAAGTAGGTAGATTTCTGGGCAAAGTGTGTGTGTGTGGGGGGGGAGGCAGCTGTTTGACCCTGCTTATGACTTCCTACCTTGTTCCTCTCCCCCCCCCCCCCCCAATCTAATCCAACTCTCCTAAACCCAGAGCCCTCCTCGCAAGTTCTTTTCTTCGGATCTCTAACGACAGATCTTCTTCCCCCCCACCCTCTCCCAGGTAGCTTTTCCCTACCCACCCCCAAATTCCTCAGTGACCTGGCCTGAGCGCATAACCTGGGAGGGAGCTGGCGTATAGGGCCCGGGCGGGAGGAGGAAACACAATAGAGTGTGCGGGGGCGGGGGGGGGGGTGGAGGAGATCAGAGCCTCCGGAGCGGTAGGTGAGAAGTGCCACGGGTGGAGGCCGGCGGGAGAGCGGTACGCACCTCCCCCGCACCGCCCCGGCGGCGCGCAGGTAGAGCTGGGAGGCAGCGGGACCGCGGTCCGGAGCCATCCGTCGCGAGGTCCCCACCCTCGAGTGCCGGGAGCCGCACCGCGACAGCGCGCTGCAGCACTCACCACCACAGTCCGCCGACGTGCGCGGGACACAGGAGCAGCAGCAGCAGCAGCCCGAGGCGGGAGGGTAGGGGCGGCAGCATCGTGACCGCTCTGCCGCCCGCCGGTGCGGGCAAGGGGCGGGGGGGCTTGGCTGCGGGGCCAGTCGGTGCACGCGGGGCCCCGGCTTCAGGGCGAGTGCGGCTCCGGCGGCGGCCGGGAGGCGACGGCTCCGGCGGCGGCGGCGGCGGCGGCGGCGGGGGGGCCCATCCCGGGCGACGAGGGCGCGGCGGAGGCGGAGAGCGGACGGGGCAGCCAGCGCCTGAGTCTCCTGCCGAGCTCGCTCGGGAGAAGAAATCAGAGCCGGGGGCAGGGGAGGGAGGGGAGCGGGGCCCGGGCGGGGGCGGGGGCCGGGAGGTTGTCGGGGTGGCAGTTGCGACAGTCGGGCGGCGGGACTCTCAGAGGGAGCCGGGAGCCCCGGGGCGGCGGGCGCAGCGCCGCGGAGGGCGGGAGCGAGGGTCCGGGGCGGGGCCGCGCTCGTGGCCGCCCGACCCGCCCGCCTCGCCCCCTCACCACGCCTCTCGCGGAATGGGAGCCCCCCGCCGTCGCGGGAGTCGGGGGCAAGGAGGGCGGGGAAACAGGGTGGAGCGGGGTGGGGTGGGGGTGGCGGGGAGAAGAGGAGCTGAGGAATGGGGGACGGGCTGGAAGGGAGACGTTTGACAGGTTTGTTGACTGTAAAGAGAGAAAACTTCCCAGGAATGAGGGAGTTTGGGTGGGTGGGGGGACGGGGGCGGGGGCGGGGAGGGTGGTGCGGTCGATGCCAGAGCGGGGGGCCGGACGAGGAAGTCCGCCTGGGGCTCTGGATGCTCCCGGGAGGGGTGTCTATGGAATTAGAGGGTAGGGACGGGCGGACCCAGGAGGGGGTCACCCCTTCCCAGGGCCGCCTCCGCCCCTCACGCCCCTTTCTCAGCCTTTCCTGCAGAAAAGGAGGAAGCCCTAGGCCTCCACTCTGGCTCCCCAGCCACCCCGCCTCTTCAAGCCCGAGTTCAGGGGAGGGAGGTGCGGAGGGGAGATTAGACAGCAAGAGGAACCTCTCCATGGTCCGCGCCCCAGCTCTTCAGACTAAGGAGCGAGCGATAGAGCAGAGGTTGCAGAATAGCAAGAGATTGAGGGGCCATAGAGGGAGACTGAGGAGTCATCGAGGGAGATTGAGGGTCAGAACTTGGCAGCCAGGCCTCGCAGTGCCAGCAGGTTCCTGCCTCACGTTGCTTCCCCAACGTAGCGGGGGCCAGAAGGGGTAGGAGAGCCAGCTGCAGGTGAGATGGCATTTATTCTATTCTCTAATGCTACAAAAATGTCTTTGATGCCCCTGGCCCCCTCCCCACGTGGGGAGATCAAAGGCTCCGTGGGAAGGAGGGACAGCTCCATTCATCACGGCCTTCGGACTCGCTTGCTCGCAAGGGCTGCAGTCCCTGCTCCTCCCCTCCGGCCCCACATGCCCCAGGGGTGCTGAGGGACAGGTGGTGGGGGACATTCCACAGCAAGGGCCTTGTCTCCAAACCACCATTTTCTATCTAGAGTGGCCATCAACCTTCAGGAATGTATCGGGGTGGGGAGGGCACGGACTTCAAGCCCCAAGGTGCAGACACCTCAGGCTCCCACAGCAAGACTCCTGGTGGTATGGGTAGGGGAGCCCCTGAACTTGGAGAGATCAGCCACTTCCAAGAAAAACACCCATGGTGAACAGAGAAGGCAAGTCTCTGAGTTCCTCAGAGAGCAGAGACAAGTGGATCAAGATGAGGCTGGGGACCGAGGCGATGGGACAGAAGACCATAGGTGCCTACCCCACAGGAGGCAGATCCCGGAAAGAAAAGGATGGGTGCGAACTGGGAAAAGGAAATGGAGACATGTTCCCCTGCTCACACAGGGAAGCCTCTGAGTTTGCTGGGAGCTCCACCCCAGGGCCCTGGTGTCTGAGCTGTGTTGTTGGTCTAATTCCTGGGTACAGAGAATTCAGGTGAGGGGCTGGGATACTCCAGAAGGGGACAGGCTCCGTGGGGGGAGCTGGTGGCTGAGGGAGTTGTGAGGAGGACATGGTCCTAGTGCTGCCCTTTCCCATTTTAACCCTCCACAGCATCCAGATGCCACGCATAGCCTTGCACCTATGAATTCTGTCCACGGTTGCTGTTTCTGCAAGGCAATGCCAACTCTGGGCACTGCACACTCAAAGACATGCCCAGGTTAGGTACACACTCAGGCCAGATGGTGCCCAAACAGACTGTTGGGGGCTCTGTGGGGGTCCCTGGAGGCTGCAGGTGGCCAATGATCAGCCCCCCCTCCCATCCACTGCCTGGGTTCTGAACCTCCTGCCCCCACCCTGCTACTGTTATTGCAGATTATGAAATGCTCTCCCTATCCTGCATTCTTCTTGAAGGCAAGAATTTTAATGTATTTGTCTTTGTCATCAGGGGACCAGGGCTCTGGGACCGCCCTGCCTCTGCTTGAGGAGGGAGCGCCCCAAATCTGGTCCCAGCTGCATCCAGACACCAGCTTCTCTCCATTACCACCCCCTCATGCCCTAGCTCTGCCCCTCGCCTCCCCCTTCTAAGACACAGTCTCTCTGTGGGGTGGATAAAAATGATGTTATTGAAACAACAGAATTGGGAGCAGTGACAGGGAGCAGGGATCAGCTCAGGAAACTGGGGTGTTTGCCAAGAAGCCTTCTCCCCCGCAGGCGGCCTTTCTGCTCCCCCCCCCCACCTTTCCTACAAACACACACAGATAGCCCCACCCCTCCTGCAGTACTCTGTCTGGTCAGATCTTGCAGAATAGCTGGCCATCCCTGGACTCCCCAATTCCTTGTCCTCTCCTCCCACCCCAGAGTCCCATTCCAGAATCAATCGGCTCAGTGGTGCCTGCAGAAGCACTGGGGCAGTACAGGTGTAGGCTATAGTCTGTGATGGACAGGCTCCCAAAGCCTCAATTGCCAGGGCCTGGGTTCCAAGGGAAACCTTGCCTCTGCTCACTTCCTTTTTGCCTTCTCTGCATTCTCATCTAGGAGTTGGCTGGCATCTGGGCAGAGCCAGAGCCCTTATTTTATAATTTCTGCCCTTATGCCCTTCAAACCTTCATGTAGATGAATTCAGAAGTTACTGAGACTTCAATCCATCACTATCACCCTGGAAGACTTTCCACAGAGAAGGACCAGGACATAGAGACAGAGACACACAAAGACAGATCAAGATGCATGCCCCCCTCCCGCCCCTCTTCCCCCACACACAACTTGGCACTTTCAGAGAACTCCACAGAAACCACAGGACAGCCTCATCTCCCCCAGACAATGCTGGATAACCCACACATATGGATGGACACACAGATGGGCTGGCTCATGATGAGACTCATACCTGCTTCTCTGGAGATCAAATGCGCGCACACACACACACACACACACACACACACACACACACACACTCACACACCACCTCTGCACAGACATGCATGTAGAGAAAGGGTCACAAGAGATTGGAATGGGAACACAGCAGCCCAGACCTGAGCAACATGAATGGAATGGTGCCCCACAAATCCCCCTCTCTGTCCTCTGGGCACTGGGCACCCTCTACTTTTCCCCCCACTGCTCTGCCTTAAGTCCCAAGAACCTGTTAATTCCAAGTCTAGGCTCTGATGCAAGAGAGAGATGGGAAGGAGAGACATGGGTGTCTGGCTGTGGGTTTGAGAGGAAGGAGGGGTAGAGTTGGGAACTGTGGAGGGGGAGAGAGGCACCTGGAGAAAGATAACATCAGAATTGCTGCAGGCACAAGCAGAGCCCTCTGTCTCTGTCGGATTCTCTCTCTCTTTCAGTGTCTTTTCACGTTTCTCCTGTCTCCATGATTTGGTCTCTATTTGTGTCTGTCTCTAAATCACTTTCTCTGTTTCTTTGTTTTTCAAAAGGACTGGAGCTGCAGGAGCCCAGGAATTTGGGCCTGTGACCCTTCCCCTCCCAATAACCTCTCTCTCTTCCTCCTTTCCCTTTGCCCTCCCTCCCTTCTTTCCCAGTAATGGGATCTAACTCTCATTCCTTTAGGATGGTGGCGGGGCTTCAGAATTCCTCAGGGCCTTGGGTCTCTGGGTCCCAGGAGAACAGAGGAAAGGCCAACTCTCTGGAGAGATGGAGGGAAGGAAACAGATAGAAAAAAGAGTCACTTTCCTCTCCCTTCTGTACCCCAAATCCCTCCACTTCAGCTTTTCCCAGCCCACCTGAAGTCATCAGAATGCACCTTCCTGCCAAAATTGGTTTGGCTCAGTGGATAGAGCATCGGCCTGCGGACTGAAAGGTCCCGGGTTCGATTCCGGTCAAGGGCGTGTACCTTGGTTGAGGGCACATCCCCATTAGGGGGGGGGGTGCAAGAGGCAGCTAGTTCATGACTCTCTCTCATCGATGTTTCTAGCTCTCTGTCCCTCTCCCTCTCTGTAACAAATGAATAAAATATATTTTAAAAAATACTATAATTAAAAAAAAAAGAGTGCACCTTTCCAGCTGAGAGGGTGGGAATTCAAATGTCCAAGCTTTAGCCAGGTTTGTCCGTGTCTTGCAGGCTAAGTTTCCTCTGAGACTCCCTCTGGGCCTTTGTCCAAGGGAACCCCCCCTCCAGGCCCAGGGTCCCCACAGAGCCCACCTGCCTCCCATCTTCCACATCTCTCAACCCTATCCATGTCCCCAACCTTCCTATCACCCCATTAGTCAAAGGGAGAAAGAAGAGGGGGAAGGAGAGAGCAGGGGATGAGAGGGAGGGGCTGCTGGCCCACGAGGACTGGGCTAGGAAAAGCCAAGGAACATTTGTTTCCACTTAGCTCGGCCCCAGTGGCTCTGAATAGGAGCGGTAGGACCCAGGAGCTTATCCAGCCATCCCAGTCCAGGCCCAGCTCCTGCTTTATGGATAGTAGAGTGGGCAGGAGGACCCTGGGTATTCTGGGGGAGCCCCTACCCTCTTCTCACTGCTACCTTCTTTTCCAAGTGACACCAGTTATCCAGGCTGTGTCAGCTCTCACCTCTGAGGAAACAGGGCTTCTTAATCAGTTCTTCAGACCCAGACTCTCTCCTAATTGT